GGATTGTCACCTCCCTACTTCCGCTGGTCACACTATTTTTGACACAAGCCAGGATGCCGTTGGCTTTCTTGGCCACCCGGGCACACTGCCGGCTCATGTTCAGCTGCTTGTCAATGAGAACCCCCAGATCCTTCTCTCCCAGAAAGCTCCAGCCACACCTCCCCCAGCCTGTAGCCATGCAGGGGGTTGTTGTGGCGCAAATGCAAGACCTGGCACTTGGCCTTGATGAAGCTCATCCCATTAATGTGGCCCACGGATCCAATCTATCCAAGTCTCTCTGTAGAGCCTCCCTATCCTCATGCAGATCCACACTCCCACTTAACTCAATGTTATCTGCAAACTCACTGATGATACACTCTACGTCCTTATCAAGATCATCAATAGAGATGTTAAATAAATGGTCCCACCACCGAGCCCCAAGGAACACCACTTGTGACCGGCCACCAGCTGGATTTAACTCCAGTGACCACCACTCTCTGGGACCACCCATCCAGCCAGTGCTTGACCCAGCAGACTGTTCACTCATCCAGGCCATGGGCAGTCAGTTTTTCTGTGAGAATTCTACGGGGAACTGTGTCAAATGTTTTTTCAAAAACCCAGGTAGACAATATTCACAGCTTTTCCCTTGTCCAATAGTCAGGTCATTTTGCCACAGAAGGAGATCAGGTTTGTCAGACAAGACCTGCCTTTCATACCCCAATGCTGACTGGGCCTGATCCCCTGGATGTCCATTATATGACTTGTAAGGGCACTCGAGATGACCTGCTCCATGACCTTCCCTGGCACCGAGGTCAGACTGACAGGTCTATAGTTCCCTGGATCCTCCTTTCTGCCTCTCTTGTAGATGGGTGTTACTTTGTAAAGAACAATTTGATTCCCAAAATCCCAAACCCACCTACTACCCAAATTCTGCCCTGACAGTCTCAACCTGGGCACTTCCACTTATGTGTTATGCATGTCCTCTCCTCATGTTTTGCTTTTCACATTGCTACCAACACAGCAATATTATTTACTGACTGCATTTCTATCATTAATCACGGAAATGTAATAGTAATGGACTGATAACACTCCAAACACTTGGCTGCAAGCTAAGTGATGGATGAAGAAAGTCCGTAGCTGAATGGAATAGAATTCCTGTTCTCCATGAATATGGAGAAAATGGAAATGGCTTTGTTTCTTCTGTCCTGTTTCAACAGGTCAAGTTGGCTCAGTTGGGAACTTTAGCAACTACAATTTCTGTGCAGAGATGTAGAAGACTGATTTTTGAAATATCATGGTATTAATGAAAATACCAAATAGCTAAGGGGCTCTGATAGCTCACAAGATTAGTGAAGCTAACCATCTAACAATAGTTATCATCTATGCCTAGAAGCTATTACATTGTTTTCAGTTGATTTCTGGGGACAAAAATCTTTGCAAGGTTTGCCATCCATGCAAGGTTTCTGCACCTGGTGATGTTACTTCACTACAACATTATGGCCCAATCTTCAACCACAACAACTGAACACTGTTGGTAATTCCAAGGCAAGAGGTTTGCAGTGATGTTAATAGAGCACAACCTGGTTTATAATGACTTAAGTGCAAAGAACATTTCACCACGTCCGGGCTGCAGACTCTCTCTCACACAGTTGTAATCAGAGTTGTCACTGTTAGCCAAGCACTGCCGAAGACAAAACACCTTCTGGTATCACACAAAAAGGAACCAAGAAGTCTGGTACGTGTCTGAAACATGTCTGTGTACCACAGACTGTAAACCTTCAAGGTGGAAGTATTCAAGATATTGGAGGGGCAGATGAGGCCACCAGCCGTCAACCATCAAGTGTACATGGCAGGGAAAGGAAAAGCCAGAAGTGCTGAGATAGGATGCCAGACAGACAAGTGCTGAAGAAGCATCAGTGGGTCTGCTGGCAAGGAAAATGGGTAGTTAAAATGATGAGCAGCAGGAGTGGGAAATATCAGCCAATCCCAGTTGGAAGATGAAGAATAATTTTCTACTGTTATGTCAGTTAAAGGTACAGATGAGCTTTTGTGCTGAAACCTGGGGCAGAAATTCAGTCCTAAGTGATATCTGGAACCCAAGCCCTCAAGTCTATGGGTCTTCGATCTTCATCGGTTTGCATTTCACACCTTGAAAACTGTCTCTCAAGAAGAAGCAAGTGCTCTAACTTTTAGCCTGAGATTAACTCTTTAGAAGCCGTCACTCTCCAGGATTTAGGTATTTAGTAGAAAAAGTATCCATTTACTGATACAGTGATGGAATTTCAAACTAAAAGCACTGCAATCAAATTTTAAATTTTCTTTTAAACACATACACTTCTAATAGTTTGCAATGGAGCCTGAAACACTGTTCAGAAATGGTTATCTGTATAAAAGTCAAAATATGCCTTAACTAGATAACAAAAAAGAAACTCCACATGCTACTCATGGCAGACACATTCCTTCAACTTCTGTGAAAGCTACAGTATGATCTGCATACAGTTTCACCTAGCTCAAAGTCTCACCTCCTTCCATAGACCAGCATACACTAAATATTAAGAATCTCTTCCAGCATGACTCTCAGTGATTGCTGTGTTTAATGATAGCAGACAATGGAACTTAAACCAGACAGTAAATAAATATAAATGTTAATTATCTTGCTGGAGATGAGAAACCAGATGACATCTGGAGCTGGCATTATTGTAAACAGGAAAAATGTATGAGAGATACTTGGCTTAGAGGTTTATAAATACCAGATAGACACATCAGGAGGAGGTTGGCAGGTTAAGAAAGGACAAGGGCAACTCTGTAATAATAAGCAAGTGAAAGAGATGGAAAGAGAGCGTATGTGAAATTATTTCTGGGAAGACCATTTTTGTCTGAGACGATTTTAGTTACATTCTTTATTGGACAGAGGCTCAGTGTGGTAGGAGAAATCTGCCTTGATTTATACACCAACACAGTTTACCTGATTCTCTTTGCTAATGCAATAAAAATACAAAGACTGAAACCACCATAACAATATGGCACAATGCAGAGCACCAGCCCCTCAAACCTTCCCAAAGCACCACAGTAAAGTCTTGAGCTGCATCCTGTAAGCATTTATGCACAAATTGAACTTCATGTACTGAGATTAATTTTCCTGACACCATGTGAGTTTCATTGCAGCACACAAAACCAAACACAGACTTACATATTTTTAGGACCAGGACCTACTTAGCACTAGTCAGCTGTGATTGAATGTGTCTGTACTTAATGTGCAGCTCACTAAATGTGAACAAATTCTGTGTTTTGGTACAGTTTGGGTTTTTCCCCAGAACAGCATGTATGTTGTTTCAACATTAATGCTGAAAGTCACTGATGTTTATTCAAACAACTATAATGTTGTCTAATGCAGCTGGGAACAGAGGTACAGTAGCCTCATATTTAAAAGCATGGCCTTTTATATAACATTAGAGAGCTTTAATGGGCATGTTGCCCATTTCTGATTCCCTAGTGGCTTCTATTCTTCACAGGAATTAATGTTCTCATCAGAATGCATCTGTATAACATTTTCCTTGTGCTGATCAAGTATCAGCAATTCAGTGATTACCTTATGCCTCCCACTGCATATGCTAGGCCAGATTATTTAAATATCCTCTGGTAGAAGAGAAAATGGAGCATTTCTAATCACAAAATAGTGCTCACAAAAAGCTATCATAAGAGCAAGCATCAGGGATGTACAATACAAAGGCAGAAAAAGACCTTCTGTTGCACTGCAGTAACATCCTTCTGTGGATTGTTCTTAGCGCAACAATCTAGATGTCGATGAGCATTAATACTGACAAGATACGTAGGTAGTCCAGCATCAGTCTTTGCAATCTTAGAATTTATGAATACACGTTAGCATGTATGTCCTTGTGCACAGGTCAAGAAAGATTCCTGTGATGGCATTTAAGCCTTGCAAAGTTGGAAGCAAAGGTTTCTGACCTTGGCAGTAAGCCCCTAGACTAGTTTGTGCTACGAAGCAATATGATTCAGGGTAGGATACAGATAGGATGTATCATCCCTCAGTTGCAAGCCCAATGTTCACCAGCTATACTAGGAATCTCTAGAGTGACTTCCCAGAGAAACAGTTCGAATTTCCAGTGATACCTTGGAAATATATGCATATCCACACAAAAGAAAGAGGAAAAAAGAGACAGGAACAACCTTCAAAAGATCTTAATGTGCTGATGAAAAATAGTAAGCAGTGCAGTTACCATCATACACAACATACTTTAGGTATTTTTTCAGTTATCTGCTGCAATGCTAATCACTGGTTCAAAAATCAACATTTCATATGTCCAATTCTAAAACCGTTACTAGGTTTGAAGAGTAGCATCTGAATTTAAGGATACTCTTTTTTTACTAATCATAGTTAATTTTGTTTAACTCTTCATATTTTTTTCACACTTTACCTGCTTATAACTGAATATGAAAAAATTTGTGACATTTATTGTTCATCTGTGACCTCCTGCTCTACTTTTAAATATTCAACACATTTTCCAGCTCTAGAGTTCGAATTATACAATGAAATTAAAAGAATTTAAGTTTTAACTTTATCATTCTTATAACTTTAAAAATACTGAGATTTCAAAGTTAGGTTATGTTCATTGCCAATATAATCAATTTAAAAGCATGCATGTAACAATACTGACTTCTGTTTCTGACCCTGGATTATTTTTTTCCCCAAGAACACATTCAGTGCACAGGACTGGCCAAAGACCACTGAAATCAATGGAAAGACTACTGGTGACTTTGATGAAATATGGATTGGGGTTTGAGCCTAACACTGCTGACTTCATTGAATCATCACAAGGGCTGAATTTGGAATTGACAGATGTAAAGCGGTTCATCCCATGTTCCTTTAACAAATTGCATACATTTTTCCCCTTCCACTCCCAGGAATTTAGACCATTTTCTTCTGCTAGCTGTGTTAAGGAGCCCCAGCACTTGCACAGGTAAAATGAATGACTGAAACACATACAGTTGTTTGTACTTACAGGTGTCTGGCTTGAGCTGACTGTTGGTAATGCCAAAATACTGTGGATTTTCAATGACAGGAATCTTTGTCATCCCAATGATGACTGCATCAGGACCCCCCTCTGAAGAAGATGGAGTGTTACTTCCATTTGAGATGTGGTGGAGGGGACTGGCTGAATCATCATCATTGCTGATAACTGAAGAAGGACCTAGAGTTAGAAACAAAGATTTTCCTGTAACTCAGCACATGGTTCTTTTTTTTTTTTCTTTTTTTTTTTTTACTAGTTTGTCTTCCATCCCTGTAGTCAACAGTTCTCTTTGTGTGCCTTATCAACCTTACCTCAGGAATTCTATGTTTGGGTGCAGATGGAGAACAGTGGGTTTTTTCCATTAGGAGCTGGAATCTGAAGCAAATTATTGTATGGTAGATCACCTAGACTAAGTATGTCTGTCACTGGGGAAGACCTCCAAATTTGTTGAACTCCTTTCATTCTCAGAAATAAGCTACGAATTACATGCATTAATTCTTTGACCTTACGCCCTACTTGGATCACACAGCAGTAATTGTCACAAATCCAGGGAATGCCCACCCTCCATTTGAGGTGGCATTATAACAAGACAAAAGACACAGAGGAGATGGTCTCATCCTGATGTGGGAAACTGGTAATTTCTGAAAGACAACACATTTGAAAGCAAAAATCCAGGGGACAGTTTGAACAGTCACAGAGGTATGAAGCAGATGCTGAGAAGAGTAATGGAAAAGACACATCCTACCCTGCTGCAAAATCTGGGGTCATTGCAGAGGGTCTCATCCAGCTCAAGGGAACAACCCACTGGCTCCCCCATCCATACTTGAGTTTAGTCACCTTCCAGAAAGTGGCTTATTTTGATCAGTAATTCAGTCACACTCAGTGTTGTTCTCAGTGCTTTGTATTTTTAACAAAAGTGCAATAGAGATAAAACCTTGTAAATGGGTAAAAAAAAAAAATCCTGCTTAGCACAGGATTCTTCTGTGAGCTGCAAGGGCCTCTGATCTAACAGTGACCTACTCAGTGCAGGTGACATATCAACTCTTGCCATCTAACCCTGCCATTTAAATTCCACATGACATCTTCCAGCTTACATCCAGTATTCAAATAAAACCAGAATCACCATTTAGCAGCAACAATATTTAACAATATTTTGCATAATTTCGCCACTGAAGAGCCAACAGAGGTCACATTTCACTTCATTCTCCATTCATGTTAGTCACGGGTTTTGGGGTGGAACTCACATCTTCTAACAGTAACAGTCAAAAGATGATGACAGAAACAGATGGAAAAAAATTGCTCTCTGAAAGTGCCTATCCTGGAAGAGCATTCTCAGACAACACCTGTGTTTAGCCTGTAGGCAGTAGTGACAGGTGCAGCAAAAGCACCTCCAAAGAAGGGGGTGGCAGAGCAGACCTTGAGGACAATAAAAAGCTGTGTTTTCTCCACATTGCCAGTCAGACCATTGCAAAATGTTGAAGCCCCAGACTAAGTTTTAAGTTGGACAGAAGGAACAGTGCAGCGGCAAGACAGAGCTGAGTAACATGCCACATAGATGGCATCTGCGTCTACAGGAGAGATGGGGGATGCAGAGAGAGAGAGAGAGAGAGAGAGAGAGAATGGGGACCAGCAGCAGGTCCTATAGACACAATATCACCAAGGACATGAGAGAAGATGGGCAGGATTCACCATAGCACATGAACAATCAAGGAACAAAATGAAAACTAAGACAGTCTCAGACACAGCAGCCAAGAAAGGGCAGCCTTAAAGAAAAGAAACTTTCTTGTGGCTCACTGTATTGTTACCAAAAACACTTTGTCATTTCATGGCATGGCTCACAGGAATAAAACAAATAATTCAGCATGTGGCTATTCAACCCTACCCCTTTAGAGACTCAAGGGTACTCCCACCCCTGTTCTGCTTTCCCTCTCTCCAGTTGGTTTAATGGTGCATAAGGGAAATGTTCTCATAGACTGCAAAAAAATTTCCCCCCTAGCCTGAAACATTAGAGGTAATTTCCCAAATACCTTGCACTTCACTGGAAAGTCACTGTTGACAAATGTAAGCAAAGCCTAGATCTCTGCAATTTATCAAGTGAAATACTAATACCAAGGCTGGTTTTGTCATTACTGATCACCCAGATCCTCAAAAGATTGATTTTACCAGGAAGGCTGCCAGGATTAAGAGTTTCTGGTGAAGTTTTCTCTAATGAAGTGCAGAGCCTAACAAACTGTGGGAAAGGGTCCCTCAGATCGCACACAAGGTACTTATATGAAGACATAACACATTTTTCAGGTGTGCAAGAGTTGTGTGCAGTGGCATTAGAGTGCAAACCCATTTACAATCACATTCATTTTTTTCTAGACATCATACTTAACATTTCTAAACTTTCTGAATGTCAAACTAATGGCTCCAAAAAGCAGGCTGACAAATACACATTTTCTTGGGAAAAGAAAGTACTTTTATACTCATATAGCTTTAGTATGAGGGTCAAAGCCCTTCTTTTACAACAAATGTGCAAATTCCTTTGGCTCTGTATTTAATAGAGGCATGTCTCTAAGTTCTTTTCAGTCCTACTGCTCTCTGCTGCACAGGAGGAGGCTCTTTTGTCATTGTTTGCTTCCACCACACATGCAGTGATGGCAAGGAAAAGTGACCATTACACATTTCTAGATGTTAAAATGGGATAATGAATAGAAACTTTTTCTGTTCATCAAATCATTTATGTGCTACTCCAAGACCCAATTTTGTACAGTGAACTATTTTTTCAATCAGTATAAATCACAAAGTGCTGCAGGTGAAAAGTAGACAATTGTTCAGTAAATCTATTTACTCAATCAGGCTAACTGATAAAAACTAATCTGTGTGGTATGAAGCAGGCTCCTGATGTAGGTGAAGAAAACCTGGAAAATGAGGTTCCGAAGCAATTCCTGGCAGTATGAAATGGTTTAAGAAAAATTAAACTCTGGGAACTTTGTGCTGTGTCACTTAAGTGATCCCTTTCATGCAATAGTCTTTGGAAGTAGTTGTTTGGGTTCAAAAATCTTATTTCCTGTATATTTCTTCTCTAATTAAGACTAGGAGAACTCAACAGATGGAAATACTTGTGTATCAGAGGCAGTTGAGCTCACATCCTCTCAAACTTCCCTTTTGCTGGGACCTTCTTGTCAGTGTGAGAAAACTGGTACACAGACTGTTTCCACACTTGCTTATTTGCCAGACTATCCACTTACTATAAAGTTACATTTCATTTTTTGAAGGCACTAAGTCACATTACAGTTACAGGCTAGCACTGCAGCTGGCTACAACTTATATTCTAGTAATGCAAAACCGTTTTCCAGGATGCATTATGAGGCCATCACCTGTATGGACAAGAAGCTACAGCTGCCCTTTTCTGAATATGCACTGAGCTCAAACTAAGGGATCATTTCTTGAAGTGCCTTAAAGTGTGGTTTCATCCAGATGAAATGGGGTCACTGGATTATTTGTCAAGGGCAGAATGAGTATGGTAATTAACCTCAGTAACCTATTACTGATTCTGGTTTTTATAAAATCTGTTGTTGGATTCACACCTGAAATTTGAAAATATTAGACAAAACATCATTGGTGGGAGTGAAAAGTCATGGGTTGTCAATAGCTGTTAGCTATTGCCAGTAGCTGACTCACAGTCAGGTTGAGCTTTTAAAAAAACTCCAGAGGCCTTTTCCACCTTCAAATACACTGCCCAGCATCTTCACTCAATTTCATCTTGACTGTACTCCTTATCTTAAGGAGATAGAAGCCAGTGCCAGACGAGAAATGGTAACCTGCCTTGGAGAAGAAACATAAGCGCTGCACACTACAGGGCTGAATTTCTCCTCTCTCTGATGTTGAGCTTAGAACCTATCCATTCTGCATCACTTAGGCCCAAGAAAAAACCCTTCCTTTTACAAAAGCCAGCAGCTCTCTGAAAAAGTGGTGGCATGTAAGAAAACCAATTGTATTTGAAATTCTCAAGCTATCACAAAGCCAAAATACCTCCCACACCTAGGTTGTGAATGATCTTCAACACATGGTATGGGGACAGGCAGAAACAGCAAACTTCTCTTACTGCACATCCCACAGAAAACTGCAGGCAAACACTGCTGGGAAGGGTGTCATGGTTTACCTTCACTAGTCCCAGCCTTCCTCCCCAAAACATAACTCACTTCTGTGCTATCTCTTCAACAGTACATCTCTGCATTGTCCTTGACATCGGTGGTTCCAACAAATGTGAGTTTCCTTAAGTTTAGAAATAAAATTTTATAAAACCAACTATTTTTAAGATGTGCTGCTGTTTCTGGCCAGGAGAAGGAGTTTATAAAATTATACATTACAACCTTTCCTGCTGTTCCTATCGCCATCAGAATTAATGCTGTTTTAACATGCACGCTACCAAGACCTATCTACACTGCTATTTGTTGGGGCTACATTTTGGTTTGTATTGTTTCAGACTTCTGCTAATCTTTATGTAGTTGGGTGTGGCAATACATCTGACTACCGGCTGCCACTGGAATAATGCACACAGCCTTCCTGTGTTTCGAAGTACAGAAAGAGTCCCAAAGTGAGTAATGGCACGAGAGAGCTAAGCAGGCTCAGGCAGAAAATGAAAAGGAGAGCCTCTCAAATGCAGAATCAGAAAGAACATATGGGTTTTGTTGGCACCTGGCATGGTCTTGCAAGCATATATGCTCAGACTTTAGTTTAGATGTTCACAAATGAGAACTGTGCCCATCTACTTCTCCCTCCACCTACTGTGTCAAAGATATAAACAATCTACTCTGCATGTTTGCTCTCCAAGCTCTAACAAGATCTCCTGGAGGCTACAATATCCTCCATCACTCCAATTATCCCTGAAGTCACTACTAATGGCTGAGACACACTGGGAAACAATAAGAGAAATAATTATAAAAACCTGGCCTGTTTTAGCTTTGTACTTGCAGCTGTGTAGTTACAAGGATGCATATGCTTAGTCAAGTGTTATGAGGCAGCTCAGGTAAAAAGGATCATTTATTTATAGAGATGATTTTGTGCTGTGATGCCTTCATAACCATGGCTCCTTCCATGAAAAATTATGTTGACTGCTAGAAAAATTTCTCAAGTGACCTTGCGCTAGCATTGGCTCTTACTTCCTCTGGGAACAGGGACCAGACTCTGCTGTG